TATATATATATACTATTGGTGTTTTTTATTCGAGAAAATTCTCTTTGAATCAATTAATATATATTATTCTCTTTGTTTAGAAGTAACATTATTTATCGATTTAAGAGAAGAGAACTACATTTCTCAATTATTTTCTGTGTTTTACTCCTAAAATAAATAATGTTGTCAAGAATTGTGTGATGTGAGAGAAAGAAGAAAAATCAAAAGATAAAAATGTGTCAACTTGAGAGATAATAAAAGGAAAAGAAACAATCGGTAGTATAATTATTTATTTTCAGAACATGATTTAAATCAATGCATATAAGCTAGTAGGAAAAACATATCCTATTCCTAAATCCTTCTCTTATAAGTTCTAAGGAATGCATTAATATCAAAAAGTTCATAACTTGAAGAGTTTAAAACTAATATACCATTTGGATTTCGTTACGTTTTTATAAGAAAATATGATGCTTTAAAAAGCTTATTTTATAACCCTTTTTGTTGAAATAGATGTAATTATGTCTACAAAGGTATTGAACTTAAAATATATGTATGTGTAATTGTGTTGGTTTAGGCATTTAAAAACATGAGCAATTATGAATGTATTTACAGAAACTTGTAAACTCACAAGCACAAGCTCTAGCAACTAGCATGTAATTGTCTATTCACAACTCACAAGGCACAAGATATTTGACTGGCGTTTGTTTTCCTAGGGTTTAAAAACTAGGATGTTATAGCTCGTAAAATCGATATTGTCCTACGCAACAACAAGGTTAATTAATTCGACCTGCGTTATTTTTTCTGATGAAGCTTCGCAAAGTATATATATATATATATATTGTCGCTTCCATTGGCCTTGAGCTTGCACAATAGTTATTGGATTAATACCAACCTGCCTCCAAAAAGTAGTTTTCTTCTTCTCAAACTTGACCTGAGTGTCATGTATAAATAAGAGTGTAAGCTAGTCTATGTCTTCTGATAATATTCTTATATGTCTCTTGGCTATTTTATTGATGATTCCCTTGATATTCCAAACGAGAATAGAAGAATCATTAAAACCATTATTCATATAGCACTCACCATATGAACTATAAGAACTCAGTCTCACACAATCATATTTGAGGCGCCCCTTGCAATACCTGCGTCTCCATGACATTCTCGCTAGATAGGTACTTACTCTTAGGGTTTGATTGGAGATAATCCCACTTTTAATTTCGTCACCATAGAATCAAGTATTCCGTATGTTTGGTTCTTCCATAAACCTAAACTTGTTTGGGCTTACCCTAGTAGAGAATGAGCATGATGTCCTTATAATCCATGGTTTTTTTTTTATTTTTATTTTTGGGAGAGGTGATGAGTATTTAATGGCTTTGGAATAGCCATCAAAATTTAATTCACATTTTTAGCCTGATCAATACTTACATTATTTGTTGTAATGCAAGCTTTGTCACCAAAACCAGCTTTGTCATTAATTTTTCCTCATTCTTGTCTATCTCATGAAGCCCTGCATTTAAGAAGATAAGCCTACGAGTTCAGTAACATTAATTGAAAAAATATTTAAAAAAACATAAATTTATCAACTAATGGTGAATTTCCCCTCTTTTTTTTATAGAGTTAATTATCTATACACTGCCAGTGTAAAATTTTTTTACACTGGCAATCAATCATATCTTTCAATAGTATCATGTTAGTTACTTATTTAATAAAATAAAAATAAAATAAAATAATTTAAAAGATATAATTGGTTGTCAGTGTAAAAAATTATACACTAACAGTGTATGGATGGTTAACTCTTTTTTATAAGCTAAGAAAACACAAGGGAGCATAAGTAATAATAATAAAAATACTATATAAAAGTATAAGTATGAAATATTCTAAAATCAAAATAGATTATCAAAAACTCTCAACATATTTAGGTTTACACATCTAATTTAGAATTTTTCATGTTTAATAAATTTATTGACTTTTATAAATATTATTTAAATTTTATACATATCATGATTTGTGATTGAAAAATGACAATATAAAATAATTTTATATTTTTAATGCATAACCATTAAACCCTTATAAATTTATTATATGTAATTATTTGTAATTGGGTGATAATATAAAACTTGTTTACACTACCCATGAATAAGTTATTTACTCTTTATTTTTAAATTAACAGAATTATATAATAAAAAAATATTTGGATATTAAATTTATGTTAATTTATCGATGTAATTATTTTTTATTTTAAAAAATCATCAAATTAGAGAATATTATTAAAATTATAATTTTGTCAATTTTTTTTCTTTCCTTCCAAAATTCTGCTCTCATATACACCCTGAATAAATGAGTGTGACACCCTGGGTCGTATACATTGCTGGAGAAGGACACGAAGGAAAGAACAAAAAATAAAATAAAAACGCTCCATTCAATATACACTTTTTGTATTTAATTTTTATTGAATAAATTTCATGAATCTCATGAAATAATAGATAAACCTTATATAATTTAATCAGTCTCATAAAAAATGGAACACTACATTTGACTAAAATAATTTTTTATCAGATTTTTCTTATTTTTAAGTCGAAATAAATTAATTTAAGACAAAACTTTAGGATATTAGTGTGAAATAATAAAAAGTCTCATAAATTTTACTAATTTACAATAACAATATAATAAAGTAAATTAGATAATGATTTTACTTTTTTTGGTTTTGGTTCTATGCTTTTTAAGATTATAAACCATGAGTTCGAAATGTTAAACGAAGCACAAAGAAAGCCGAATTCTTTACTCGCGCACAATGTCGCAATATATTTTTTCCCCTCAGCATCATTTACATTTTCAAGCATATCTACGACTTTATTTAGAACTACATACTAGATTGTCTTTATACCGGAAGGACATCATTAGCAAAGCAAGCCGAAAACTCCTTGGCGTGTCCACATAACGAGATAAAACAAGTCGTTTGCAAACTCTATTAACCCCAATGGACCCGCTGTGAGGGCCGATATAAATACTAATATTGAAGAGAGAAAGAGTGACTTTTTACAGAATAGGTACAAGAAAAAGGATCAAAGACTTCCCAACATAATTATACACATAAGAATTAAGTTGAGGAGTCCTCAACTCGTTGCAAAGGCCTACATAACTCAATATTACAGATGTTAATACTAATAAATCCTCTTATAAACCTGTTTATGAACCTAAGCCCATTAAAATTAGTATAAACAAGAATAATTAATGACAAAAAAAAATGTACATTTTCATAATTGTCATAATTGATTAATATTGATCTCTCTAATTTCAAGGATTGACTTAAGCATTGAGGTACCTTTTGTAGATATCCTACTTTTCCTTTGGACAGGTGTATGAAAGATGAAAATTTGGGAAAAAGTACCCTCGCCTTCGAAGTTGCTCCTTAAAAGTGATTACTATTTGGTGGTCATCACATTTAAATACTACTAGTTATATGTTAATAAATAACACGACGATTTTATATTGTAAAGAAAACAAAAAAAAAATTAAATAAAACTCGCTACCTAATTTAACTGTTTTAATATACTATCACTGTACCAATAAATGTTAACGCCATAGAACAAAAGTGCCGGTAAAAGAATTTAAATGGCACTAACAAGCTAAGGTGATTGTTTTTTCTTTTAACGGTGAGAGGTTTACAATGTCTGTGTCTTGCTAAACCAATTGAATTAGACCTCTTGATAACTAAGGTGATATTTTAATTACCCAAACTATATGTGTTGCTCTTAAAATTGATACCGAAAATAAAATATGCTTCTAAAATATGTGAAACACCAAATAAATATTTTTAATACAGTAAGAATTATTGTTCGACACACATAGTTAATAATCCTAGTAACTGCTTCAATCATTTTTTTGATACTACCTTGTATTCAAAATATTGCGCGCGTCAACTTGCAAATTTCATTTGTACTTTAGTTATTGTTGGCAGATAATGAATTATCGGGTGATTGGCAAGGTTAGGAAACCGTTATTCACCTCAATCTGAATGAGGATTCATGCTAGTTAGTCAGTCACAAGTTAGCTGAAGAATAAGATGAGTTCGGTGACAGATTTAAAGATACAAACCAAGGTGGAAGAACTTGCCCCGAAACCAATCGAAATTTAGATAAGGAATTAAGGCTTAGCCAACTCAAACAATTCTTTTCATAAAAAGCACCACAATAAACAATTTAGCTAGCTTAAAAAAAGTTGAGTTTGATCTCCTATAAACTCATCACCGAATAAAACTTTGAAAGAATAGTTGCCACTTCACTTGAGAAAAGTACAAGCAATGAACAAGAACACATAAACTACCAATGACGTTAAGAGCTCAAGTGTCCAAGTTGGGCGCAGCAACATAGATGGAATATTGGGTACCAGCACCGAACCAGAGATCCATCCAGCCACTAAAGCTCCAAACCTATGATGTTGCAAAATAAAATAATGGTGATGGCTAATAGTAAGACATCAGAGGAAAAACATAAGTTGAATTAAGGTATACCACTTACCCAATAATGAATGCTCTAGCCAAGCTCTTTGTCTTCTCGTTGAGAAAATATATGCAGGCAGCCAAAGAGATTGCCACCTGCAGCAAAACAATGATTCCTCAATGAGCAATTATTCATGCACACGAAGGAAGTAGAAAGGAGAGGCAGGAAGAGAAGAGATAGACAGAGCAATGATAATTGATAAATATTTTAATAATGCTTCCTGACGTAACTCAAACAATACATGAACTTCATATCAAATATAGCTCATAGAAAACAATCACCTTAATATGCCTTAATACACTCGTGAACAAATGAGAGGATAAGTAAACATGCATTAACAAAGAGAATATTACCCAAGTCAAGTTCAAGTCCTATATTTGTGTGTATGCATGCACGTACAAAGAGAGCTTTGCCGCTTAAATGGGCCTGACTCAATTAGAGTTATTTGGGACCCAATGTGACTACTGAACAGCGAGAGTCTTGGACCAAATAACACAAAATTGACACTTTATTGAAAATGCGGAAAACCTTAAAATGGGAATGGCCAAGCTGCAAATCAAGATTAAATTATGCTTGTTGGTTAAAGTACTAAATACCATAACCTGAAAATCTTGCAGTCACATGAAAAGATCAGAATAATGGCTGATCTGAGATTTCTATACAACCTTCAATGATAGTCAGACAGGAAACAATCACTAAAATCTTGTTACAAGGTATTACAAGGTATGGCATAACTTAACCAAGTAAACCAGGAATCCTATAATCTAAAGATTGGTAGTTGATTTAACCATGCAGTATGGAGAACAACTATGATACACCTATGGCTTGAGAAGGTAAGGATTAGATGAATATATAATTTGGTTTTCTTTTTTAAAATTTATGGGTGTCACAATCCAAATACTCTTCTTATAGAAAATGACATCTGCAATTTTATTTTTTTTGAAAAACAAACTACATTTTTATTCTAAAAAATATGCTTTTAATTATACACCACTGACCACACAGAAGTTAATAATATAAGAAATTCAAAGCAAACCTGAAAAGCAGGTCCAGTTTCAGCAGAATTCATAATACTCCAGCCACCCATGAAGCCAAAGAGAAACAATCTTCTGAGGATAATTTCAGTTGGTGGAAGTTCAACAAAGTTTAGCAAGTTTTTCACCCATGGTGGAGACTCTTCTACTTTCTTTTTCAACTTGCTTTTCAAATTAATTTTTGTTTTCCTCCTCTGTATGAAACTTGCCATCAATATTTTTTCAAAAGCCGCTTCTATTGACTCTTCACTCCTCTCATGTCCAGCATATTGTTGCAACAAAAAATTTCTCGATCCCCAAATTTCTTCTTCAGAAGCATCACGGCTAATACCAAGGCGTCGGTAAGGATCCAAGACATTGCTTCGAGGAAATTTTTGTACATTACCTGCAGGGAACAATTATAGATAAATACATATATCGATAGTTTAATACATAAAGTAGACAATAATAGAATCAAAAATGCAACTAAGTAGAAAAAAAGCAGACTTTGTAGCAAAATAGCAGACTTTGTGGATTAATATCCAATGATCTACAAGTTATCAGGCTTTTTAACGTCATTAACTAGGAGAAGAGAAAATAAAACTAAAGGCGTGTTCTATATTGGATCAAATTCTGGAGCCAAAATCTTGTTAACGGGTGCAAAAGATATCTCTCAAGACAGCAATATTTAATGCTGCCAATTTAGTCAAGTCTAGTTGCTCGGGCTCTCAAGACCAAGCACCTCTTCAACTTAGACAATAAAACTGCAATGTTAACATTTTGGTTGATCAACTGCACAGCCTCCCTCATGGAGACAACTTTTTGAATTCCTGTCTGTTGTGTCTCACCTCAAACTTTAGAGATGAAGTGTCTGGTGATTATTTCTTGAAGTGCCATCCAACTTAAATTGAGTTTTCACCAGATCAAGTACCCCCCCTGTTAGAGGGCCAATCAATATACAACATCCTAGGCCCTTGAGAGTAATCCGGAAACCCAAAAGGTTCCTCATGATACAGTAATGGCTATTTCTTATTCTTCACCCATGGGGAGGGTGGAGGGTGAAGATCTGTTGCTTGTTAGTGGCTCTTTCTTTTAAATAAAGGATTTGTAATCCCTTTTACGATCAAGAATGAAGTATCAAGTATGAATTTGTTTTTAGATAACTTTCCTTAGATTATAGTTTCAGCCTATCATGTTGGTGCTTTCATAAGCTTTCCTAATGCCTCCTATAAACTCTAACTCTTCCGGTTCTGATGAAACCATCCCTTCTCTAAAGTTTCAGCTGGACAACCAGCAAGCTATACAAAGAACCTACAGGGAGACTCATTACTTTTCTTTATTCACTAGCATGTATTATATCAGAAAATGCATCTGAAACAGTTCAGGAACACTACCGAAATTTCTATGTATATTAATATTAATAATGAATATATTGAAAAAGGGAAAACTGCCTACTAATTCATATTAGATGTCAAAGTTTCAGGGGTAACAGTTACATCTGATGTGGGAGAACAGAGGGCAACATGTTATTAAAGGTACTTTAAATAGGAAAACAATCCATTTCAAATTTAGAACCTATTTGGAAACAAGCTTAGAGTTTCTTTACCAAAAAATATTCTTTCTTTTCGATATAGAAACTCTCAAAAAGACTTCTAACTTCCAAACAAACTCTTATAAGTTCCAAACTAAGGCCAAGCAAAGGCCACGGTCCGTGAACTTTCCTTCTAATTATCGACAAAAGGGAACTTCACTTGAGCTAAAAAAAATAGCATAGAGTAGAAAATGAAAATTGAACAACTGAATTGAAGCCTAAACAACCTAACAAGCAAAGACGTATTACGCGTTCCTTGTCACATAGAAACGAATAGAGGTCTCAAGCACAAATTTCTGGCATCCTCAGCAAACCTTACCAAGAAACCAACTTCACGTAGCATGACTATCTTAATAATAATATATAAAAAAAATGTTACACAATGGATAGGGTTGGGGTTTGTTTGTTTAATTAAATGAATAAATTTACCTCCATAGGGCGTGTCCACCGCACATTTAGTGCGAAATGAATTGGTCACCGAGTGTTCTCGGAGGGGCCTGAAGAAACCCAAATTCACGAGCATAAATGATTGACGAATCCGGAACCGTTAAAGTAAAAGAAAATCGTGATTAATCTGAAAAATAAAGCAAAGTAATGAATCGCGCAAAGGAAAAGAGGAGCGAGGAGTACAGTTTCTTTGCGAGAAAAGCGGTGGAGAAGTTGGGAGCTGAGAGCGAAAGAGCAACCATGTTGCAATTAACGGAGCGAAAACAAGAACAACGCCCTAACCCTAATTGAAGAGCATGGTAGAGAAGCAGAGGCAAAACGGGGCGTCTTCTTCGTTTGGTTCCACCGAAGAAGAAGAAACGAATAACGATAAGTAATAGCAGATTACTTGTGTATTCCGGTGTGTGTAACCCCACTGCCTGCTACTGCTAGGTACGCACGCGTGCCATAACTTACACTACAAACCCCTTCTCATTTCTTTTAAAATTATATATATAAACATATTATGTTTAATCTCTCAATAATCATTTGATTATTACTAAATACTTTTTAATAAAGTAATTAATTGTCCTGCTGTCAGAAAAGAAGACAAAAAAGGTAATCAATTGTCCAAAATCATTATAATTTTATGTAACAATTTTTTTTATTATAAATTAGAATAGACAAATTAAAAATATTTACTTATTGAATTTTAAATATATAATCCATACACTAACAATTTATATATATGAAATCCAAATCGCAAATTTATTAATTTGAATATGTTGTGAATTTGTAAGAAAAAAGTGAGAATTTTCATTTTATTAATCCATATCCTTTGCATGATTGAGTCATATCCAATTATACGACTTAAATTTACTTTTGTTACTTTCATATAAAAATATATTATTGTTCACTAATTAAGTTTCGAGTAAACTTAACTCCCTTAAACAAGATTTGGGATAAGACTTGTGAATAGATAAAACGATAGTTGAGAATCTTTCCTATCTTTACCGGAAAGGATAGTTGAGAGATAGTTGAGAGGGCACTTGTAATATAATGTGGCCAACAGTTTTTGGCATTCTACTTGGCGAAGTAGGCACACATACACAAACGGAAGAAAGGTTGAAACAAAAGACTTGAGATGGATCATAGATGAAATAATCATGGGAAATAATGAAATAAATATATAGGAGGAGTGAAGCATGCACAAGAGTGATTTTTCTATTTGCAGGGCAGAAAAAAAAATAGTTAGTCAGCCCCAGGAAGAAGCTTGGTTCTAGAATTGCTGGTTGTGCCAAAACTTCTCACAGCCGCAGGGATGACCCTGGATGGTGACAGCACCTCTGCGAACGAAAAGTTATACGAATCTGTTCCTAATCTACTCTGTAACCACCCTTTGCCCCCAGAGAATCCATCAGCAACAATCCACGTGTTCTTAAATCCAAGGCTGGTTAGCGTTCTTCCAACTATTTTTGCTACGTCCGAGTACCTATTATATTATCACAAAAGCAGAAGTTAATGTGAAGATGATGAAAAGCAAACTTAAAATATGGGTATACATGGAAGGAAACTCACGAGTCCAAGATCACAACGTTGCTGCCTTTGTTGATTTTCTTGAGATATGAAATCTTCAAAGCGACTACTTCAGCTTCCAATTTCTTCACATTCTTTACCTGCCCTTTGAGCTTGCTTGGCAGTTCTTCCAAACTGAAAGGCCACAATAAGTGATAGTGGGTGCTTGTCAAATTGACAAAGTTTAATCATAATAGAGTTTAATTTGATGCATTTTTTCTACAACTAAGAACATGTTTGGATTCGGATATGAGAAAACAATAATTAGTTGCTTTTACATCAATTCTGATGTGATTCTGTCTAAACATGGATCATGGATGTAGAACCAAACATGCCTCGAGTGTTTGATAGTAGATAAGGACATAATAAGTGTACAAATCTCAGAAGCTAAAGTTCTAGTGTGTATCACTTACGGAATAGCAACCATCCTGTTTTTAGCACTAGAGGGAAGGCGAGGGATACCAGTCTTGTCCTTATCCTTCTCTGACCTAATATCAACCAAAACGTAGCTTTGCGTTGATATCAAATCAAGGGCTTGAGCAGGAGTCAGGTCTCCTACAAAATAATAGAAGCAAAGTATTACCATTAGCCTCAGTTAAAAGGAAAAACAAAAACATTAATTACTCCATAAAATTCATAAATTCAAAGGTTCTGTACAACCATACAAAACATGTCGAAGGTACCTTTGTAACCACGAAGATTAGAAGAGATGGCAGACCAAATAGGAGGAATCAGGAGGTAAGCAACAAATAGTGCTCCAGCTGTTCCAGCAATCACAGTAGGATCTGAAGAAGATATGGTTTCGACGGTTGATGAAGCTATAGGTTTGGCAACTTCAATCACCTTGGTCGTTTGTTGTGCAGCATCTGCCACTGTCTGAAATCAAAGAGAGTATCTTGATCGGGTTGATAAACTTGGTTTTTCAAATGTCAAGCAAATTACCAAAATGGTGAAAACTTCTCCTTGAAAACTAATACAGAATTCCTTTAATTAGGTACTTAGCCTAAGCAAGTTCATTATTTTCTACAAAGCCTTGAGTATCCATTATGGAACAGCATAACAGCATCTAATTGAATATTTGAAAATAAAATTAAAAACATTCCAAGTTAACAACAGAACCAGTTCAAAGGAAAATATATCAAATCAAATGTTTCCAAAGGCTTTTAGTAGCTCATAGGTAGTACAATTGCACCTTACGGGTAAAATATAGTTATAACCATTGATTAAATGACCGTTTAAAATAATAATAGTAATAAAATACATGCAGGCATATTACGGATTATAAAGTTGTTAAAATCTTGCTATTCCAGCTGAGAGACTGATTCCTTGAAGTACTAAATTCTATTTAATCGGTTGATCTCTCCGGATATGTTATTCCAATTAACGATTGTGATACATACAGGTTTGGACATTGAACCCCTCATATTGATGTTCTAATTATTGATTGTGACTGTACTTTATCATCTGAAATGCATATCTTTGTTTAAAAATCCAAATTAAAAAAAAAACTAATATCCTTCCAAACATTTGGTGTAATTGGCACAAGCGAAAGTAGAAATATCGACTTCAAACCCGTGTTTGTTTCCAACCACTAAAGGCATGGCTATGTCAGTTATACGTTTGAAACTTGTACCTCAGTTAGTTGGCCTCAAATGTAGTGTCTATATGTTTGACAATTTTTTTTCTCCATTTGGTTAAGGGTAGATTACAAGCAAATCTCAGTTGAATCAAAAGGAAGAAGGGCGTTGTTATCTTTTTTTTTTTTTTTTTTAAGTTTGTTTGGTAAGTTAAGTTAATTCCAACTTAACTTTCTAACTATTATCCAAACACACATAAAACGAAATGCTTTAGCATTCCAGAAAATAATTTAGCACATATCTCATCAACATTGCAGAAATCTATATCCTACCAAATGTTAACTAACATTGTAACTCAGCTGGTGCACATACAACAAATCTCTCAATACCCACAGAAAATGAAAAATGGGCTGAAATAAGACAGAAAGATGGAGGTTAGGAATAAAACCTTAGCAGCAGTAAGAACAGGTTCGGTATCGACACCGGAGCTTTGAAGCGCTTCTTGTGCCTTCTTGGAAGCTTCGGAGATGGCAGGGGAAGCAATTTTGAAGGCCTCTTCCCCAGCCTGCTGCACAATCGGCAACGCCGTCTCGATGCCAGGCTTCAAAGCGTTCCCTATAACCTCAGCAACACGCTGCGCCGTGTCAAACACGCTCGAACCCACTTCCTGAACCTGGTCGATGGTTTTCTCCACCTACGCAAAACCAAATAAAGTCACGATTTTTTCGCCATTCCGGTTAATGGGTATGCGTGGGAATGGAAACACTTACTTGGGTGAGAGAAGAGACAATCTGGTCCTTGGCGATGGCTTTGGCTTCGTTGGGAGGGGCGAAGAGAGCGAGGAGTGAAATGGTGGTTGAGGTTGGAAGTGCCACGTGGACGCGTCTTGGTTGAGGCTTGTTGAAGGTGGTGACTACTGCGTGTGGAGAAGGAGGTCTTGGAGTGGCCGAAGAAGCCATGGTAGTAATCTCCATTGCTAGTTTCTCACTAGATGGTGGAGATCGACAGAGTGGGTTATAATGATGAGAGATGTGTGGCCAAAATCCAAAGAGCTTTCGGGGTTTAAGTTTAACTGCTCTTTATGTCCACCTATGCAGCATCTTTGTTTGAGGCTCTCATACTGGCACCACTCCACGTGGCATTTGATTTAGGGGAAAACAGAAACTTCTTTTACGAATATATAGTTGATAAAGCATAGATAGATGTCTATTTTTCAACATGCGATCAACTAGTAATAATGACTAGTGTAAAAAATATAAGCAGGTGCGATAAGAGTTGAAAAAAAAAAGACACTTGTGTGCTGTGTCTTGTGCCATTGGAATGATAGTCCAAGTTTGAGTCTTCCATTCGTATGTGTACAGTTTAACATTTTGCTGAACTTAATTAGGAGCTCAATTTCTTTTTGGACACACTCAAGTTTATTCATTCTCCCACCTCGAGTTGTAGGAGTGCATAGTGAAACAGCTCTTACATAAAGGGGTGTGGTGTCAAATCCAATACCAAGACAAGAATGTGGACTTCCAGTGTTCAAATCCAATACCAAAACAAGAATGTGGACTTCAAGATTTTGTTTTGGGACATGGGCTTCAAGAGTTACTTACGGTCGGGTCAATTACGGTCATTTGGGTAATGAAGATTTAAGGGGTTGCTACGTATTGGGCTGCCCTAGCGCAACGAGCTGAATCCCAAAATTGCAAGGAAACTTTTTGCGTGCATGAGGTAGTAAAAACGGAATCAAGGTGGAAAAAAAATGGTGATCAGAACTCAATAAATCCATTTCCCAAGATTGACAAAATCAAGGAACAAAAATATATTAATTTCAACAACAAAATTTGTTCTTGTACATGCTAACCTAATCTCTCATAATTAGACTGACTTCAGAAGTTCAAGAAAAATACATGGATTCAAATCATCATGTATCTATGCATGTAAGTATGTGAAAGTGTGTTTGCATCTATGTCAAGATGTGATTTTCCACGTTCAACCGAAGCTAGGTTTTGTTGCATTTGTGGATTTTCCAGAGAGAGAAGGTAAGATCTACGTTTTCAACACTATTCAAAACATACACCAAGTATATATTTACACGAAGAGGGATCAATTTCTTACTTAAGATACAAGTTATGCTTAATTTAAGTCACTTGATATTTTTTATAAACATTAAATATCATTATTGCAACTGCTGATTTAAGCATTTATATTAAGTAAATTAAGTATAAAAACATCGCACATTCTTTATATCTGTATCACAATTTGTGAGACCCGCTCCCTCCTTCTTCCCCCTCCCTCTCAACACTCCTCATTTTCTCTTTCTTCATTCACTCTCATTTCCTCTCATTCCCTTTTCCTTTTCTCAAACTTCTTTGTGGTGATTTCTGTGGTTGAAGGTGCTGTACGGAGCTAGCTGAGAGTCGGATTTTTCTCTCCTTCTCTTCCTCTTCCCCGGGAGCTCGGATTCTTCTTCTCCGAGTTAAGGGAAGAGTTTTTTTTTTTTTCCTGAGGATTGGTTGTACATGAGTTTAGAGACTCATTTGATGCTTGAGTTCAGGAGATTGATGGTCGGATTGAAGAGTTGCTCGTTTTTGGGGTTTTCGGGAAAATGGGGAAAATTGGGGATTTTTATGCGTTTGATGGTTGCATGTTGAAAAAGTGATGATTTTTGAGTTGTATGCTGTAAATGTAGTTTATTTCATGGATTGCATGTGTTTGAGCCGGCTGATTTGCAGGTTTTGTTTGAAATTTTTGAAATTGTGAGGGTTGCTGTTTGAAATTGCGTCGGGCGCAGTTCTTGGCGTCGGGCGTGCGTTCATTAGGGGCCACCATTGTCTTTTCACGCCGGACGCAAAGTTAGTCGCGCCGGGCGTGATTTGAAATGGGAAATCCCTGGGTCAATCACGCCGAGCGTGGGGAGAACCACGCGTTACTGATATTGCGCCGGGCGTGGAGACCCATTGGGAGTCTCTGTCTAGGGTTGCGCCGGGCATAGGATAATTACGCCGGGCGCGAAGACCTTTGTAGGTCTCTGATTGAGTTTGCGCCGGGCATGATTTTAATGCGTCAGGCGTGAGTATTTTGGTCTTTGAGTCTTAATGAAAGTTGTATCCTTGGATGTTAGCTTTCCAATGACATTGGAATCACCCAAAAAGGAGTTCTAGAACTCCAGATATGGTTGTTTTAGTGAAGAGGGGTCAAGCTGCCAGCATTGGTTATAGCTGTTGCGTTTTTTAGAATTTTTAACAAGGTAGATGAAGGAATTAGGACTTGGTGTCTTCATGAGAGTTGTAGGAAATCTTCTTATCTTTCATATGAGATAAGGATGAGCATGATAGGAGTAGTATAACTCCCGATACGCTGTCTTATGTGAAGGTTGTCATTTTACAAGGAGTGATTTGGTTATGTTGAAAGTTGCTAAGTTGTTAGATGAAAGTTGTATGTTGTACTATGTGTTGAAAAGATATTACATTATGCTGTTAATGATGTGAAGCTGAGCTGTGTTGTATGTTGCTTATGCTGTTAATGGTGTGAAGCTGAGTTGTGCTGAATGTTGTTTATGCTGATTAATGATGTTAAAGATGAGCTGTGCTGTATGATGTTTATGCTGAGTAATGTTGTTAAGCCGAGCTATGTTGTATGTCGTCTAAGCTGTTAATGCCATTATGTTGAGTTGTGCTTGAATGTTGAATATGCTGTTTAAAATAGTTGAGTTGTGTTATTGAATATGAGCTGTGTAGGCCGTAAGGCTGAGCTGTTGATCACTAAGACTAGAAGAGATGTTTTTCGAAGTTGTTCATCCCTTGGTGTGGATTGAGGAAGCTGTGGTGCTCTTAGAGCCCAATTTGTTGAAAACCCTCCTTGGGAAGTTGTCCCTTAGAGTGGTCACTGTGTTGTTCTCCTCTAAGTACTTAGTTGGTCTCGTGTGTGGGCAAGGTTAAGGCACACGTGTACAAATCGACCACGGTATAGGGGTCAGGTCGAGCTATACCGCTTACAAGCGACCAAATCGAGTTGAAATGGGTGACGATGCATAAACTGTTAGATGTTGAAATTGCTAAATGATATGAGCTGTATGTGAGCAATGTACTGTGAAGCTGAGATGTAGATGTATGTTGTTATGTGTTGTATGTCAACTTTGTTGAATTTGATGATATGCTATTAAGTTGAAGCTGTTTATAAATTCTATATATGCTCATTCTTTTCACTAGTTTACCCTTGCCTGTTTCCATATGGGTTGGACTGCAATGATCATACTATGTATGGGAGCAGAGCAGGGATAGGTTGGAGTGTAGTAGCATGACTGCAGCTGGCAGATGGAGCTGATGTTTTATTGTTTATGGCTACTTAGAGTAGCTAGGTTGATATTATTTTTTTTATATTAACTTGTTGAACCCAGGTTAGACCTATGTGTATATATTTTTTATTTATATGCATACTCTATTCTGTGTGGTGTTGTTTGTTGTGCAACGGCTAGGTGGGTCGTTACAAAATTCACCTCAAAATTATAATAGGTAATTTTTTCTACATTGTTGGCCGGACATTTTCCAGAGAAATACGAGTCTTACCAGCAGAGTGTCAGTCACGACTCACGAATTCAATGAACACTGCTGCTGATGCATGCATTTGTAGCAAGTAGCACATCTAGAATAATAGTAGAATAGCCCCCATAAACTTCCAGCATTCCTGACATAAACAATGCAACACAAATTAATTTATGCTTCAATATGAGACCACAACGACAGTGTTGCATGAACCAGTCCACGGCTATGTGCTTCCCTGGGAGTTTACCTTTCCTATATATTCCTCCAAACCAACCATGATATCTCACAAACATGATATCCTTTACCAATATTAAAGTAAAATTGCACTCGAATTTCTTAAAGACTCTGGTCATTTTATTTGAAATATTCTCCTGTGTCCAATAAGTAGTTTATTCAATATAAATGTAGGAAATCCGAAGATTAATTTTTTATTTTAAGTAATAATGTTATCGATATGAAGTATCATTGGTATTCTGATATGAATGACTAATCTCTTTTGAAAAACTTTTAGTAAAATCTCATTTCTCAACATCTTTCTTTGCCTAAGAATATAAGACATTACTTAAAGGATCCGGATCACGTTTCTCTAGTACCAACGATTTGTTATTCACTGGATTGTGTAATAAAGGTATGCACTTGTTATTCTTCGTATCAAGTCACTGCTCCAGCAAATATCATATAGCCTTAAGGAAACAAGACAAAGCCACTTTGCTTACAACAACAGGTACAGTTGAAGCTTGGCATCAACCCATATGATTTCTGTTCCAATTGCATCCTTTTCTCGCGTCTGTACTATCAGATTTGGTCATTAGCGTTGTTTTATGTAACACTCGACAAGATGTAGTGATATACCTCATATAAAGGCTCAACATACTAGGGATATGTCTGTAATTGCATTGTTGGTCATTCAACAGAGTCAAAACAAAAATCTACTTCTATTTTTTACCTATAATATAACAAACAAAAAAAAGTTATGTAAAACTGTTTTACACTTTTATTTTAACACAAATTATAATGTATAATAAATTTGTTAAACCTTTACAATAATTAATTTTAAAACTCATTAAACTCTTGGTATAAAACAGGATAGGTAAAGAGTTTTAAAAGAATATAAACAGATCTTCAGATAATCCAACAAGAAAACTACCCACTGATTCATCTGATAATTTTGCAGTGCATCAGAATTGAGAGGTTAATTTTATAATTGAAATAAAAGTATATACTTGGAGGAACTAACAATGACAACAAAGACATCCATTATGTGACAAATGTTCCATACTAGTATTTAATTAGAGTATGAAGCTAAAAGAAACACGTGGGTTCTGTTTGTTTTCGGGCTTTTGAGGTGTGAAGTTTGTTTTTAGGCTGTTGGAGTTTTGCCTTAAGGGTACTTGTTAAACAAAGAATTGGTTTTCAAATATATTAATCAGAACAAAAGCACCTTATATCTACTCATTACCTTGGATTTTTCTTCAGCAACTTGAACCATGGCTCCATATAGGACCATAGCTCCATATAGGATATTGCCTTCTAGTAACACGTGTCGAAGTACAACCTTGCCCTGCAATTCCTATGCATGTAAAATTGTAAACTACCCTTGTATGGAATTCCTTAAAAAAGAAGTGTTAATACACAAATGCATACGTGTAATATGTCTTACGATCAAAGTTTTATGTCATTGG